GGTTATTTGAGCTTGGCTCGCTAAAAGAATGTTAGGCTCAAGCTCAAATTCAATTTAGCTCAAAAGCTCATACATTCAAACTCGATTATGACCAAAGCTTCTTATAAAAAATAAGATTTATACACACAAAAATTATTTTTTATTTTACATACAAAAAATTAAAAATTATTTATTATAATAAATATAAGAAATAACAATTATAAAATGATTGATTATTATGTATGAAAATAAAAATATTATGTATAATATTATTATACATACATATATATATAATGGAACTGACCAATAAAACCAATTATATCAGTTCCTAGTTTTGTGTTCCGATTTTAATTGTATCATTGGCTTTTGCTATTATAATCAATTAGAATAAAATTGACATAACTAATAATATATAAAGTTGTGCTTGGAAAGGATGCAAATGGAGTGTAAATCGCAGTTCAGGGTAAATTTGTACTCTGGTTCAGTTTTGCCAGTGTTTGGCAATATTACATTACAGACCAATGCATATTTACATTGATAATAAGATGTAAAAGTACATCAATGAAAAATAAGTAAATTTGCATTCAAGTGGACTTTTGATAAAAAAAAAAAAAAAAAACTAAAGGTTTTTTTTGTATAAACCGTTTACACTCTACATATTTGCAGCACTTCGAAACGCAGCTAAAGGTTTTTTTTGTAATTATTATTTTAAGTTTTATATCTAATATGTAGTATATAAGTAATATTAAATAAAAACATTTGTTTTATCAACATATAAACAATTTACTATTTACTATCATTTTTAAAAAATATGTTATGAAAAATGAAGTTCTAAAGTTGTTATATCACAAATAATTTTAGACGTCAAAGCATAATAGGGCCTAATGGGGTCAAAGCTGATCATCCTGATTAATACTTGTTCGGTTCTGGGTCAACTTTATAGAACGGGCTGCTCCACCCTGTTCCAAATCATACCCGACCCGACCAGTTGACAGCGTCCCTGATATTGATCTCGCTAATAGGATTTCAGATCCGGTTTTTCGTGTGGGCATGGATCCGCTCAATATCTGCCCATTTACTCCTTGTTTCCGGTGGTGAGGTCCATCCAATATCCAACTGTGGGCCTGTGGCAACTGGCAAATTGAGAAAAAACGGTAGGACCGGTACTTTCCACTTTTCACGTACACCTTAGACTAACCGACTATGAAGGGAGACTAATTAACACGGAGTCCCAACAACCGGTCCCGCAGTGTTGCATCTGAAACATCTCCCATGATTTCCCTTCTTTCTTCGTGGCGAGATGTAGAGCTGCAATGGTTGTTGGGACCTGGGTGGGACCAGATCCGGACTCATGTTGGGACTGGATCCGAAATCTCTTAGATTACCTTCAATCTTTGGACAGTTGAAATTGAAAATACAATAATTACTTTTTAAGTTTTTATCTCTCCGTTAAACTACCAATTGAAGGAATTTCTTACGAGTTCATTTTTGCTAATGATGAAGGCAGAATTGGCCCTTTACTGACATCATGACATATGGTATATCAGAACAATTGGACTACATCTCAGCATCACTTAGGTGATAACTTGTCTTAGTCAAAATGGGGTTCCAGTTGTTGATTTGCCTCTGTCGCCGATCTTGCGACCTACATCTATCGTTGACCTGGCGAACTGACGACCTACTTTTGTCGTCGACCTGACGACTTGCCTCTCTATAAGCTTGCTAGTTGTCTCCGAACCTTTCGGGATCACGACGCGTAACCGTAGGCATTTTCCTCATCTCGCCCGAATCGGAGGAAAACGATAAGCCTTATTAATTGGCACGTTATCCTCCTTCCAAAGCGGAACAGACCCCTATGTCGTGGGCCGAGGATTCCAGGAGAGTTTCACGAGACCCACAGCAGCCCAACTATATAAGGGCATCAGCCCTTGAGACCTAGGTAGATGCACAATTTAGTTCTAGTAGCTCTCCAGCTTTCTCACATTTAGTTATCTTAAAATCTCTGATTCGCTAACTTAAGCATCAGAGTGCCCACCCCAGGTAAAGTAACCCGGGCACTCTGACACCGTTTCCTTGCAGGTCGCATCAGAGCCACCTCCCCAGCTCATTACCATTCAGCTAGACATCAGAGCCACTTCTCCAACTCATCACAATTCAATTAGGCATCAGAGCCACCTCTCCAGCTCGTTACCATTCAACTAGGCATCAGAGCCACCTCTCCAGCTTGTCACCATTCAGCTAGACATCAGAGCCACTTCTCCAGCTCATCACCATTTAGTTAGACATCAGAGCCACCTCTCCATCTCGTCACCATTCAGCTAGGCATCACAGCCACCTCTCCAGCTCGTCACCATTCAGCTAGGCGTCCAAGCCACCTTCCAAGTAGGAACCATTCAGCCAAGCGTCCAAGCCACATTCCAAGTAGGGATTATTCAGCTTGGCATCTGAGTCACTTGCTAGGTGGGAGTTGCCAAAATGCGCATCATCAATTGTCACCATCTGTGGGAAATGCTACAAAAGGCTATATTCTCACTCGATTCTCTGAGCCTCAAGTAATAGCATCTTTAAGCAACAACAGCAGTGTTTGATTGAAACAACCCCCTAAGGGAGCAGAAGCAAAATGATTAGCCCAAACGAATTCTCGTAGCCTTGGCCGAACAGAATCTCCCTAACTGTGAGGCCACCCTCATATGTCAAGATCTACGTGCTCTCTACGAGAGTTGACGGCCAACAGAATGTGAGGCCACCCCACAGGTCGAGCCCTTCGTGGTCCTCGTGGGAGTTGATAGCCAACAAACTGTTAGGTCACGCCGCAGATCGAGCCCTCCATGCTTCACGTGGGAGTTGATGGCCAACAGGTTATGGAGTCACCCTTGTAGGTTAGTCCTATTGAGGTGACGAGGTGTCTGTAGGCTGAGGTGTTGAGAGCAAAACTAGATTGTCAAAATTTCGACGACCTGACAACTTTCAGACCTGCCTCCGAACTGACAACTTGCTTCCACCGACCTAGCGATCTGCCTCTGCCACCGAGATGGCGACCTACCTCCACCGACCTGGCAACACAAGTAATAAGCCCGGACAAGCCTTGTCAGCCCTGTTCACGAGGTTGCCCCTATAGGTCAAGCCCTCCGTGGCTCCCGCGGGAGTCGGCCTCACCCTTGCGGGTTGAGCCTTTCAAGGTTCTCATGCGAGTTAGCAAACTACAGTTAGTAAAACTGCCCCCATAGGTTGAGCTCCTTGTGGCTTATCGTAGGAGTAGACGACCAGCACCTTAGAGGACTGACACAGTGCAGCCGGGACACCGACCCGCTATTTAAATTCCAACATAGACGCACATATCGCAAGGGGAAGCCAAAACCGCTTTCAGCATCAAGGACCCCTAAGCCGATCTCGAAATATGTTGGTAACAAGCCAAAGGACCTACGACGAAGCACAAATCTACTCCCTTCGCTGAGTTGATCTCAGCTCGGGAGTGGGGGGCAATTGATGAGGGTAGATTTGGCCCTCTACTAACATCATGACATATGGCATATCAGAACACCTGGACTACATCCCAGCATCACTAGGCAACAACTTGCCTTAGCCAAAATGGGGTCCCAGTTGACGACCTGCCTCTACCGTTGACCTCGCAACCTACTTTTACTGCTAACCTGGCGACCTGCCTCTGTTGCCGACCTGGCGACCTACTTCTGCCGCCGACCTAGCAACCTACATTTGTTGCCGACCTGGCGACCTACCTCTGCTACTGACCTAGCAACCTACCTCTCTAGAAGCTTACCAGTTGTCTCCGAACCTTTCGGGATCACAACGCGTAACCGTAGGCCTTATCTTCATCCCACCTGAACCGGAGGGAAATGGTAAGCCTTATTAATTGGCACGTTATCCTCCTTCCAAAGAGGAACGGACCCCTACGTCGTGGGCCGAGGATTCCAAGAGAGTTTCATGAGACCCACGACAACCCAATTTTATAAAGGCATCAGCCCCTGAGACCCAGGTAGATGTGCAATTTAGTTCTCACAGCTCTCTAGCTCTCTCACATTTAATTATCTTAAAATCTCTAACTCGCTAATTTAAGCATCGGAGTGCCCACCCCAGGTAAAGCAACCCAGACACTCTAACATTGTTTCCTTGCAGGTCGCATCGGAGCCACCTCTCCAGCTCGTCACCATTCATCTAGGCATCAGAGCCACCTCTCCAACTCGTCACCATTCAGCTAGACATCAGAGCCACCTCTCCGGCTCATCACCATTCAGTTAGGCATCAGAGCCACCTCTTCAGCTCGTAACCATTCAGCTAGGCATCTAAGCCACCTTCTAGGTAGGAACCATTCAGCTAGGTATCCAAGCCACATTCCAGATAGGGACTATTCAACTAAGCATCCGAGTCACCTACCAATTGTGAACTGCCAAAATGGGCATCATCAGCTATGATAGTGCCTAGCGGCTTGCGAAATGTGGTTTGTATTTTAGCTGCTGCAGTGCTATAGCTTCTACCAATGCTGACGTGGCCAATCAAAACCATCCCATCTGATGAGAAAATCTTTCGATTTCCAAGTCATCACCGTGTTTCATTCTCTGCCGCCACATGGCAGTTGTCAAACTTTGGCTTACTGTCAACAGCTTGATGCATCTGCTTGATCCAACGGTCCTGATTTGTTGAAACAGGCATACTATTTGTATGTATATACGCGTTGTTCTACGAAAGTATGAAGCTGGTTTTGGAAGGACAATTTTGGTATTTAAAGCTTATTTCAATATTGGTAATTTTTTGAAATTTAAAATACAGAATAAAAGCAGCTCCGAAACGGCTATAGAGTATCCCGAAAATCTCGGTGTGGGTTTGGCGGGAAGGTCCAGGATTGGCACAACCGTACATTTTTCCACGTGGCAAAATTTCATCGCCACTGCATATTTTTCGCACTTCCTACAGCCCAACGCATATACAACTTACTGCGTTTTTAATACTTTATTAGGGTTTGCAAACTGCAAAGGCGGCCCACACGGTAATCAGAGAGACCATCGGCACCCGACGGCCGAGATATCTCCAATTCCGCAGAATGTTTTCAATCCCGACCGTCTAACTCGTTAGATATCAGACGGTTGAGCTGGACTCTCGTCTCGACGTCTTCCCGCCTGTTATAAGTGGGAACAGAGAGTGAGGCCTGTTTTCTCTGAGTTTCAGCCGCCTTCGTACTATCAACCTTCTCCGTCTCAGTCTCTCGTTCTGCGAATTTCGGATTTTCATCGCCGAATTCAAGGTTTTCGTCCTTCGATTCATTCAGTCGACGAAATTAGGGTGAAGACCCAAAGAATTGGGAAAATGGTGAGTTTTTTCTTGTTTTTCTCGTTTCTTGACGTCGAACATGTCCGCTTCTGATCAGAGATTATATTTTAGGGTTCTAACTCTCCTACATTCTTGAATTTCGATTTTTTCTTCTCATTTTTATGAGTATTTTGCTTTTAATCCGGTCATCTTTCTTGATTTTTAGGGTTTGATGTATTATCAATTTTGAATTTTGGTTTTTTGTCCGGTCCATTGTTAATCGGGATTCGAATTTCGTGAGTTTAGTGTTTTAGTGGCTTTACTGACTTGAATTTGTTGGGTTTTGTTCGCAGGTTGGGTACGCAATTCACTTGAAGAAAAAGAAGAAGCCGGAGTGGCTAGAGGTGCTTCTGAAGAGCAAATTCTTTGGACCTTGCTTCGATCATCAGGAACTCAAGAAAAACGAGATGAATGTGTACTGTGTCGAGTGTAATCGATGCATCTGCCAACACTGCCTCTCCTCGTCTGCTCATTACCTTCATCTACTACTTCAGATCCGCAGATATGTCTATAACGACGTGGTCCGCCTCCACGACATGCAGAAGCATCTCGACTGTTCCAAAGTCCAGGTTCGTCTTTCTACAACTACAAAGCTTCTTGTTTGGCGTAACCCTCAAGCTAATTTGTGATTTTTGCATCTATATTGAATATGTGGCTTCTCTTATTATTTTCTTCGATTAATTACAGAACCCATTCGTTATTTTTCTGTTGGGTTTCTCCGTAGTTGCGAAATTTGTTCTTTATTTTACTAATTTCATATTTCTCTGGTGTTTTTGTTCTCAGTTAGTCGGTTGCATTACTCATTGAACTTTTTTTCTTCTGTTATTTATTAGATTTTCCCACAATGTTATGTACAATTTCCTTGAATGTTCTTTAAGTAACTAACTAATAAGGAAGCCATTCTTTTCCTAATTTCTTTATTAACCATCAAATTCACAGTAAACTATTGACTTGTATAATTAGCTGTAGTTTCTTAATTTTTACTTGCTTAACTATTAACGTAATTAGATCACTTTTAATCTGTGATTAATACTGAAATAATTTAGTTGAATAGCGCATTTTCTGGCCAATGCAAATCTTTTTTTTTCTATATTCCATTAAAATTCTCTCTTTTTTTTTCTTGGTTCTTTTAGTAATGAGATTTCTGTGTTTTTTGCAGCCATATACAATTAATGGCGCAAAGGTCATATTTCTGAATCCACGTCCGCAATCGAAGCCTTCTAAATCGAATTGTGGGTCGTCCTGTTTAGTCTGCGAGAGAGGCTTAACTGAACCAAATTGCTACTGCTCGATCGCTTGTAAGGTAATCCAATACGTGTTTCACTCATTTATTCAAATGAGTTCATCATATTACGCGAAGAATTGAATTCTGAACTGGTTAAATTGTTGTAATGAATCAATGCAGGTTTCTGTGCTCAAGGAGGATGCAAAGAGAAAACAGAGTCCGCCATATATTACCTTCAAAATTCCGGAATTCAGTGATCTATCAGCCAAGGAGAATCAAAACGCAGAACCCAATTCAAGAGAAGAAGAATCATCGAACTTGACAACAGAATCCAGCGCGGGAAATACTCTCCATCCCTGTTTGAATTCAGCATTGAAGCCAAGGGGGCAATTGCATAAAAGGAAAGGCATCCCCCGGAGAGCACCTCTGTGCTAAACTACTGACATTGTTCATTACATCATGTGAAGAGGATGTTACTATGACAGTAATATTTCTATGGTAATCATATATGTGATTAAGAGAAGGAAATCACTCTCAAGTGCTACCCCATTTTGCTTTTCTATCGGGTTGGTTTGAGGGGAGCCCACCATTGTCGAGTAGAGAGAGAGAGAATCAGAAGGTGTGGTTGGTTGTACAGAAAAAGAAAGGGTGGGGGAGGTGGTCGTGGTGGATATTCAATTTGCTCTTCCTCTTTTCTTTTCTCTGAGATTGGAGAGGGGGGATTGATAATTGATTGGACTTTGGACATTATTACATTACATTTTTTTCGGTGGAAATTGTGTATTTGAAATGAATTATTCCCTTCGTATAATAAAGGAAAACTTTTATCACTTGCCCTTATCATATTTCGGTGTCTAATGAGAGTGATTACTTGTCTTACTTCTTTTATCATGGTGTATTATAAAATAAGTTTCGGGGAGAGTGGAAACTGAGAGGTGGCTTTTCGGCTCTGGTCATCGTGGATTGAGGACGTTTGTCCCAATCTTTGTCGGTTGGAGTCGGACCTTTTTGTATTAATGTAGAAAATGGGATTATGGTCAATTAAGCTGTTTATAATAGAGGAGTAGAGGACTGGTTGGGTGGCAGACAAAAAGGGCACCGTAAAAGAGGTAAGATAAAAAAAAAACTGGAGAGTGTTCATATGGGAGATTAGAGCGAGAAACCGCCGATGATCAATGGAGAGAGTGGAATTCATTATGCTGCACATGCAATACATGATAACTCTTGCTGAAGTGCTTGTTTTTCTATGGAGTCGTCAGTCATCCTTTATGGCGTCTCGGCCCTCTCCCTTTATTTTTTCTTTGTTTTTCTTCTGCTTTAATTTTAGACATACCACATACTCTATTCACGTGGCCCGCGAGACTTTTCCCTGAACCTCCATTTTGCCCAATGTGAGAACCAGGGTTAGGTGAGGGGGAGACTGGAGAAATAGCTGAAAAACTGTTTGGAAGAGAAATGCTGATGCCTACCATGCTGGTCATAACCCATAAGAGCTCGCAGTCAGCCAGAGCCAGTCACATGGCACCGCGACGAGGAATTGCCAGTTGCCACTCACCCTGGCCCCCGTACCGTACCCCCTCTCGAATGGCCCCGGCCCCCAGTGAAAGTGTGAAACCTAGACTAGACAAACCTCTTGACATTGTATACGGGTGAAATATCCTACCTATTTATTACTGAAGCACCCTGCGCCGTCGTCCAAGTTGTGGATACTCAAATTTGAGTGACTAATATTTGTTAGGGGGAATTTAAACCCCACCCATACAATGTCGGATACAAGTGGCTGCAGGATTGGACATTGGAGATGACTCGTACACAGGGACAGGACAGGGGAATCGGGGATGGGCCGGAGCAGGCTGCACATGAGACTGGGCCACCAGCCATACCCTGCCTCAATTTTGGAGGGTTTATCGTCAACCCTTGGCAAATGCTAATGCTATGACCTATGGGTTTCAAATTTTTCTGTTAATGAAGAAGACAGGGAAGATAATAATCTGTGTGGAGAAGATTCTTAGTTGAAACTTACTAAGATGACTCAAAAGAGTTAAAAGTAATAAATCCACTACCATTTAAAAAAAAATTGAATGAGTGCCAGCCTTTGATTTCTTTGATAATTAAAATTTCGTTAAGTAGAAAAACCAAATGCCACAACCAACCAAGACAAGACGTCTACGGACTACACACAACCCTGGACACACATGCTACCCAGACAAAGACAAAATAAATCCTACTACTGCCCTGGCCCCAGAGATGATATTTTATCAACACAGCGGACAGCCACTCAGGAGGTAGACTCGAACAACTACTCACCTTCCGGAAACCCCTGCTCACTGTCGTTGCTATTGTTTCATCACACTATTTTAGTGTCTGTTTGATAGGGCTTTCATGCAGTGGCTCTGGCTTATGAGGCGGCCCCATATGAACAGCCTATAAGCTGTGTTTGGTGAAAATAGGAAAAGTTCAATAATATGTGCCGTCATTTAGCCAAATAAAAGAAACATGTTTTTCAGTAAAGTTTGTTTAGGTAGCTTTTCAGAGTGGGTTCAGCCACCATTTGGGAGGGATGAAGTCGCGTGGCTTTTGGGCTTCCGAGATAGGCCCCACACGGACAGCTAATAGTCTATGTTTAGTGAAAAATCTGAAAATTCTAAGTACCTGTTTGGAAAGGCTTTTGGGATGTGGCTTTTGATGTTTTAGAACTAGGCCCCACATGGAACCCACACAAGCTGTATTTGGTTAAATTCCGAAAAGCACTATTGGCATTCCAAACTCCAAACGCGAGAAACACAACTATAACGTGAAGCTATTCCAGTCTCCAGATAGTTATTCCAGTACAATCGGTTCCATTTTACCCTAAATCTGGTCCTTGCCAAAAGTTCATTGAATCAATTAACGACCTGTTGATCTGGGTGGTTGATTTGTTCAATGGTTTTTAGCTATTTTATTTTTAATTATTTTTTAATTTTTTGTTAAAATGGACCACCTATTCAAATCAAATGGTCGAACTATTGACCCAAAAACCAATAGGCAAAGCGATTCCATTTCCAAATCGTTTTTTAAAACCTGAAAATGATTTTAAGTTGGGCATGGGGCAATTTGCCTCTGATACTGAGGCTGTTAAACCAAAACATCACAATCACTTTCAAAAATGACTTAGGAAACACAATAGAGAGTTCCTGTTGACATCACCTCCATCTTGATTGCATGCGCTTCACATTGGACGAGTAAAGTGCTGGCCAGCTTCTCAGTAAAGTCTTCAATTGGCTGGTTGTATTACGAGCAAATAACGTAAAAGCTAAAACAAAGAAAACAATTTATACTCCCATATTTTACACCAATATTGCAAATGAAATTGCACGGCTAAAAAATCAGGGTCAAAAGGATTAACCATTTGTTTTTCATCTTTGATAGATGTTATTTTAGTAATTATGCAACCATCATCTATAATATGAAAACAAGTTGCTTGTCTTTTATTATATATCCAATCAATGATTTACTAATATTATATTCAGTCAATGAATTAAGACATCTAAAGAAACTTAGTAAATAATAAAATAGAAAAAAAATTAAAAAATAAACTCTAAATGTCTATTTTTTCACCCTTTTATATTGCATACATATGCATTACACATGTCCTTCCTTTTGATCCATCAATTTTTTCATGTACGCCCTTTTCTCTAATGAAATGCATTTTCAAAAATGAATTAGTAACTCTTTCCTCCAACCCTTTCTTTTGCTGTGTTTGATTTGATTGAAAATAAGGGAAAGACTTTCTGATTTTCTATCAGGCCAAACAGACCCTTATTGGATCATTCCCTTTTATGAAATAAATTTCCTTCTTCCTTTCATATTCCTATTTCTGTCATTGCTTTAATGTTTGCTTGAATTAGTACATCTTCATTGCTCCATCTAGTAGCAATAAAGTACATAAAAGGACAAACTAACATGGATTAATGGGCATTGCAGGATATCATTATATCAACACTGTGGAAGATTACAAGCTAATAGCATATTTGACCCCACCCAACAGATGAAATGAAACATGGTATGATGTAGGCCAGCTTCGTATTACCAATTGGGCAAGTTGAACCTTATGATTCATGTGATTGCAACTCGGCTCAACAGGTAGTTTGAGTAGGAATGTTAACGGGTGGGTTTGGAGTCTATTCTCTATTTCGACTTTGAAACAATTTTTTCCTTATGACCACACTTCCTAGTGGGGATAAAAGTTATTCTTCATCATTGATCCTTGATGGAGACGCATTCTCTACAAGAACCCAAATCCCTTAAATGTTTTTAATTAAAAAGAATTTTTTGGAAAATAGATTTATTCAATATATATATATATATATAATATTCACCCGATGGAATCATGGAGGCTGAATACCCGGCAAGAATGAAGAAAATTGCCATCCCAAAGCTTGGGGCTGGCCAACCATGTGCCAGGGGTTAGGGTTGAGAATAGACTTTAAAAGTATAAACCCAATTTCGGGTTCAAATGATTTGTTTACATAATTGGATTAGATTCAGATTTTACAAATTGGGTCGAATGCAGATTTAGCTCCATTTGATCTGATTAAAATTTGAGTCCAGTTATTTTTTAATATTGATTTGATATAATATATATTATATTTTACTTGCGGGGACCCGTGCGATGCATGGGCTTTGTTAAAAGAAAGTTAAACAATAGAAATACATAAGTGTATATAATTGTTTTATATTTTAACTTTGTAATAATCAATCCGATCGAACTCAACCTGAGTTGATGGGCTTTGGTCCAGCAATTTTCTAACCCGACCAAGTTAGGTCAATTTCGGTTTGGCCATTTGTAAATTGGCCAAAACTAAACCGACCCGATCATATATATATATATTATGTTTTAAATATAATTTTTTTAATACGAAAAAGTGGGAAATATTCCATATTTCTTAATCTAAAATATTTTATATCATAAATTTGATTTTTAATAATTTCACTATAATTTATTAAATTTAAATTTAATTTTTAAGTTTAAATCTTTTGAACAAACAAACCAAACTGAAAATAGACCCAAACCGATGCAACCTAAGTTGGTGGGTTTTTATTAATGGTTAGTCGGTTTTGGGTGACAAACTCCTAACCTGACCATGTCAATTTGGTTGGTGAAACACCTACAATTGAACTGAAATCCTTGAACACTCCTAATTTCAGCTAAATTAATAATATAATCTATAATAAATAACAATAGTTTAATCTCCAATAATTATTAAAAAATTATATAAAAAATACATAATTATTGAAAATAAACTTATAATGAAAATACTGTAGATATCTAATAAAAATACAATAAATACTGAAAATATGTTAAATTAGTCAATAAATAATGCAATCTCAAATCACAGTTTAATCTCTAATAAATATTAACCAAAAATTATAAAAATACATAATTACTAAAAATAAAATTATAACAAAAATACAATAAATTAAATTTCAAATTTTAAATAATAATTGTTTAATCTCCAATAATTAGTAATAATTTTATGTTAAATAAAAAAATAGATTTATAAATAATTATTGAAAACATATTTATCAAAAAATAAAATAATTAATTAATTAAAATACAATAAATATTAATTCTAGTATATATAAATATATAATGAATATAAACTATTATTGTAAAAGTATTACTAATAAATATTATTTTTTGAAATTTATTTTCTATAATTATTAATTGATATAAGTGAAATTAGTTATTTACAATATTATTTAGCTATTTAAAAAATATTGTTATTTAAAATTTTAAAATATTAATTATTTATTGAATTTAATAATCCATAAAATTATATTTAGTATTATTATTACATAAT